CCAGTGTGACAGATGGGTGGTAATGGATAAAAGACACTACTGCTGGCCCACAAACCATTACGATATAGAAAAAGTTCTAACTAAACCATATGCGATAAGAAAATGGAACATGTGAAAAGTGAAGACGGTGGGTCAAACATAGGCCAAGGACCACCCAGCAGCTAACGATTTCAAAAGACAGCAAAACTCAAAAGAACGAAACAAACAAAAAACCACACAAACATGAGTAAACGAAAATGTTCAAATGCTATACACTACCTTGCACATTCCAGATCCATTGTCGACCACAAGAGCAGCAACCTCGTCGTCACACATGATGATGAGTGCTGATGGCGGGCTAACGAACTAGTGTGGGCCCGCCTCCCGTTCGCCTTTTATATGCGCGCGACCCGCCAGCACGCTTCGCAAACGCCACGCAACGTTGCTATTGGCTATCGCGATCAACGCCCAGCCCGCTATTGGCAGACGAACACTTTCGGTATAGTGTTTGAGGTAGCTATTGCTTATGCGCGTAGGCGAACGTACTCATCGCACCTGCTTTTGACAAATTCACGATACCACAATGTAACAGTTGCTACGGTTGTGCCACCGTGAACTGGGCACCTTTGGAGTAGGCACACTGCCAACTGTGCGATATCGTCCAGTTTGAATTGAAGACGCCTCATAAGTGGTGCTTGAGTGCGAGCTATGTTCATTTAGCGCGGTTTTGTCGGATTAAAGAACTAGGAAAAACGATGGGGCCATAAAGTTGGCCAGAAAAACGTCATCCCCAACGGGTTTCTTGCATTCCAACAAAACGTCAGCGATCAGTGGGATCGGATTAAAGGATTATGTAGATCAAATAGAACAAACTTGTGTTCTTACATAAGAACATCTGAATAGGTACTTATTTTAATGTCAGAATCACCTTTCTGACATGTAATCAATTACAAAAGAAGGACATTCATACCTAACGTCGTGCTTAGAAATAAGTGTATTTAAGCAAAAATATACGTTCAAAATTCTTGTAGGGTAAATTCAGTCAAACCCTTTACT